GAGAACGGTACTAGGTTTCTTAAGCATAAAGAAGCGGTTACATTGGAAAAAAAAAAAGGGACAGTTCGTGTGAGTTTTACGGTTTATTAAATAGGAAAGCGGTCCATCTGAACAGAAGAAAAGGAAATTTATTTTAAAAAATAACATCTAGAGAAAAATGGCCAAAAAGGCGTATGGTGCCCCCCCTACATTGGAAAGCAGCTGGAAAAGCACCCCGGGAGACCTTGTGCTGACCCAGGAAGGCTGCGCACACAGTCTTAATCCCTGAATTCCAAACTTCGTTGTACAAGATGCCACTCGAAACGTGTATCAAAACCCTCCAGCCAAAGCAGCTTTTCAAATCCGAAGGCCCACAGATGTGTTTAGATGGTCACACCCAGTGGCGCGCCTGTGTGACCTGGGACCCCGCGGAAGGACAGCAGCCAGGCTCGGGTCTCCAACTGTACGAGCCGCCCGTGAGGCCCCAGGAGGGGACTCTGAGCCAGCCGGGGCACCAAGTGAGGTCACAGAGGCATTAGGGCCTTGGGAGGCGAGCACGGAGCCGCGGCTCACCTACTCCCTCTCCTTACGGAATCGAGGACGATCGATTGAACTTATCTTACGATCGACATTCTGGAATGACGACGGAAAACACTTATTACAGAACTGCCGTTTTCATGTTTAGTAACTTCAAAAGATCACTGGCTTTCACAGAAACGTCTTCCGATAGAGCATCAGTCCACCAAGTAGCAGGAGCTCGCCAGGAAGGGTCGCGTAGAAGCCAGGTGCAGCTCTCCCACGTGGGGGGCTCCTCACTGCAGCTGGCTGTTAGGGCTGTTTAGGTCACGAAATTAGCGGCACGGTGAGTATTTTTACTACGGCCGAGGACGACGTACTTAAAGACACAACGGCATTTTCCAACCCGGCGAGCGGCGGCGTCCGGACGTAAGCAGGGCTGCGACCTGGAAGCACCTCAGAGTTCTCAAGACTCCTCTTCCTCATCTTGAATTTCGGAAATTCTGTCTATGGATTTAAGGATTTCGGCCACAAGATTCAACGTTTCAGCTCCAGAAACCAGCTGCCTGAAACGGAAACGTGGATGTTACCGTCCGCTACCACGGCTGGGCAACGTCAGAAGCAACAAAGCAAAGTTCCAGAGTGAAAAGCAGGCTTTGGGTGGGGGACCCTCTGCCCCAGAGGCGCCCGCGGGGGGCCTGGCCGCCACCACCCTTGTGGAACTCAGCCCGTGGCACACAGACGGGGACGCGCAGTGGAGCCACCACAGCGGACCCTTCCCAGGGGCCTCCCAAGAACCTCTTTGCTTCTTAGGACAAGAGGGAAACGCTGTGACTCGTCCCCATTCAGAACTGCGACATTTCGTGACATTTCGTAGGTGAGGGAGGCAGGACTCCCGTCTGACGTCAGTGCTCAGGTGAACACAGCTACTGCCATGCAGACATTCCAGAGCCCGCCGGTCGGGTACGCATCGAGTGGCCTCGGGGTTAATAGGACCATCAGGCGCACTTCTGTTCCCAGAGCCCCGTCCACTGCTCGGGGTGCGGTCATGGCTTGAAGCCCTGCGCTAAAGGACTCCGCCTCCCCGGGGTCACCGCCTCACCCCCGCCCGTGCCGAGGCGCCCTCAGCTCCCCAGCGCTCACTTTATGGAGGAGTGGGCGTTGTTCATGACGACCCGAAGGTTCTGCAAGGCCACGTCGGTGTTGTGCTTCACTATTGTCAGGCTGGCACCCTGGCCGGACCGCAAGGCCTCGTTCTCGCGCTTGAAGTTAGAGACCTGCGCCTGGAGGGTGGGCGAGAGCGGGAAAGGGCTTTTGCGGCTGCAGAAGAGAGCATCTGACAGGCAGTCCAACTAAAACTGACCACGGCACCCTCAGCAGAGGAGGTGGGGGTGGGGGGACAGGGCTAGCCCCCGCAAAAGCCACTCTCTGCTGAGGGGGCTCTTAGAGGACACGGGCCTGTCGTGTCCTTCAGTCTGTCCTCAGCGCTCCTCCACAGGAATGAGAAATTCGGGTCAGCATCCGTGCTGTCCCAGATGACACAGCAAATGCCCACGACCCTCTCGGTGAGCAGAAAACACGGGGCCAGAACGACCGGGCTGCTTCTTTCACTTGAGG